TGGGTGGGCAGTCAATAACTTATCTCTATCTCCACGTAAGACGACATTTCCACCGTTCCTGTAGCGTTTCACTTTCGGAACTATTGCTTCGTGTTTCAGACAGAATCTGCTTGATATCGTTGGTGGAGAGTGAATTCAGTGGCAGACGAGCGAGTGCAAAGTTCGCATCTCTATGGTACCGCTGGATCGATTGCATACGTTTTGAGTGGCCCACCACCACAAAGTAGACCATAGGAGAATTCATCCAGGCTACCAAAACGTGTTTGGCGAACTCGATGAACAGATTTAGAGAAGCCTTTTCTCCAAGCGGATCTTCAAAGCCTCGGCCTGCTTCGTCAAGTATTATAAATAAAGGACCAATGGCTTTTGCCAAACGCTTCACAAAGTCGTATGACGTACGTTTCGCTTTCAGGGCCAGCACAGCAGTTTGGATGCTCATAGGATCGAGTTGCTCGATAATTACCTTCAGGATTAGAGTGTTTACTACGTCGAAGCGCGGCTCCTGTCCGGCAAAAGCACCTTGTGCAATATCGACTCTGATGGTCCGGCAACCAGGGCCTCCGAATATGGCATTATTATTTAGTAGACAATGGTAGACAACATACATTATGCGTTATCTCCTCAATACTCTAGCAAATAAATTATGTCATTGTACGATGACGGCAAATAAGTAACGGAGTAATGGAGACCACTAAAATGTATTACCTTAGTTCTCCATTGAAAAGCATGTACATGTGCATCAATCGATGCTGTTGACCGTGCTAGAATCCCATAGTCACGGTCCAAGAATAAGATCATCTCCAGCGTTGCAGGTAGCAACCTGTGCCTTTGGTGGCCAAATGTCACCCACGCCACACTAAAAAAAAGCGTTCCACCACGTTAGACGTTGGTGGAATCGTTTTTAGCTGCTCGTAGGTCACAGCGGGTTCGGCAATCCGGCGGCCTTGCGAAGTCCTTCCACAAACGAAAGATCTTCGTCGTCCGATTTCGCCGTTGCGTCGACGGCCAGCTTTGCGAAAGGACCAAGGGCAGTTTTCTCCGCACGCGTCAGGCGGTCCTGTCGGCCGCTCAGAACACGGACACACCCTGACTCAAAGTCAGGGCTGTGAACGATTTCAGCTCTAGAGCCTATTTAAACATAATATACAATAACATTAGAGCTACAATAAAAACAACTTATCATTAACGTACCGATATGTGTCTCGAACTGTGATTTTAAAGCAATAAGCTCGTCAAACCACTGTCGGACATCCTGCAAATCCACGTCGCGACCTTGAAGCGCCTTGGCGACGAATTCTACGTCCTTGAGCTCCTTAAACAAGCCTCGGAGGCGCTTGTTCGACGCAGGCGAGGTCAGGACCTCCATGATATCGTCATCTTCTGCATCCAAGAATTCGAGTAACTGTAAATAGCGCTTCAACATTCCAAAAGTAGAACTCTAACGGGTGTCCTGACGAATTACAGATCGCAGCTCAGTTATAAGACTATCAAAAAATAAAAAAATAAAAAAAAATGGTTTTAGAAAACAAATATCATCATTCAAATTATAAACAATTACGAACCGACGGTTTGTGGACTGAGTGAGCGTCCTCAACTTGATCATCAATGCCTGAACTGCTGCCAGGTCACCTTCGTGTTGAAGAGGTATTGTTGCACTGCTCGGTGCAATCGGTGACTAGCGCACCCAACAAGGGGTACCCACATGATTGTAGCTAGCAAACGGTTGACCGAGCTGTTGTCTCCTACGATGAAGCGACACTGGTCGAACTGCACTCCGAAGTCTCTTGGCAACATCGTCGCCAAGAACGCGTAGTGCGACCTCATCGTCCGGCTCATTCATGAGCGGAGCCATAGCCAACAATGTGGTAACTAGTACCCCGTTGACCTCGTAACATGCGAACCAGGCCATGTACAGCTTAATACAATGAAGACAGAATTCCGTTTTCCCCAAGCCATGTATATTATCCGCCAGTGGAATCTGCCGCTCGTTCCCCCATACCCCGTCTTGAGTGCCTTGGTATTGAAAAAAGTGGATGTCCAGTAGTTTTGGACTGTGTCGTCGCGATTTACAAACTTCATCTTGCCTTTGCTCAGCGCGTACACCCCCTCCTCCTGCTGGGATTGCAGCCACTTTGGATTGACGCCGAGGGGGCCTCTCGTCTGGACGAGGATGTGTATCTCATCAAGCGCTTTAGCTGTCGCCTGGTCTGGGAAACTATACG